ACTAGGAGACACATATTTGACAATAAGATCTCCACGAGCAAGTAGGTTGTTTCTTGGATTTCCATGAAACCATATTAAGACCAAGAAATACAGCAAACCTTGATGTAGATCTGCAACCGGATGTCCGATATATGCAAGAATAGGCTGCCAATATTGTCCTTGATATGGAGACTCCTGAAGGTACCTTGAGCAAGAGCAATGAACGAAGTGAGCTTCGGAGAGGATCCTGGTCGACAATCAACTGGCCCGACAGAAGACGATGGGATCATGTCAGGGTCACCGGAGAGAGCGGGACGGACATAACGTTCTGGAAAACCTATGTGAGCAGCCGATCTGGACTCGGTTAGAGAATGGACGTATGTAGCAGCGGACGGCGAACGCAGCGGCACGTTGGAAGCAAGCATCGTGGTCAACGACGCAAAGAAGGTGGGTTGTGTGGACGTAGGCAGCAGCAGGCGTCGAACTCAACCGCATGTTGGAAGCAAGCACCGTGGTCAGCGTCGCGAAGAAGGTGGTCTGCGCCGTATCAGCCGCGCTCATCCTCAAATGATCAGAGACTAAGTAGATGTGACAAGAATCGACCCCGAGGCGGCGATGGTTGTACTAGGGTTCATGGGAGCCGAAAAAAAAAACAAAATAATAGTAATTGTGTCTAAAAACCTAGAGCTCTTGATACCATGTGAAATAATGGGAAGGAGTACTCCAATAGGAGAATAGATGTATGTGTATATATATATATATATATATATATATATATATATATATATATATATATATATACACACACACACACACACACACATTATACATTTATAGGTTTTGGTTCAAATAAGAACATTATCTTAGGAGAGAATTGAGAATGAATCTGGATCATTAGATTTGCTTTAAGTGAAACTCAGTGTGCATTAGATGAAAACATAATGTGCATTAGGTGAAATTGAAATGTGCAACACAAAGAGTACGATACATTGACATTATGTGAAGCTGAATTATGCATTAGGTGATATTGAAATGTGCATTATGTGAAACTGAAATGTGCATAATAAATGGTACGGTGTGATGTTATTTTTGTACCTTTTATTCCGCACATTTCAGTTTCACCTAATGCACACTTGAGTTTAAATTTTCATTCTGCACATTTTAATATAATCTAATGCAAATTTCAGTTTCATCAAATGCACAATTCAGTTCCTCATAATACAATCCAACGGTCCAGATTCATTCTCATTTCACTCATGGGAGTCCGTTCTTACTGGAACCGCTCCCTACACACACACACACATATATATATATACATATATACATACATACATACATACATATATATATATATATATATATATATATATATATATTAGAAAAGTTGGCAAAATACAAAGTATTTTTAAATAGATACTCCGTATTAGGCTATTACCATTGTCTGATGCGGTGACAAAAAACAAGAGTTAAGGACAATCCTTATATAATGTTGGATTAGTTTTATAAATACATATTTTCAGTCATGGTTAGTTGTATGTTGCTCTTTTGTGTGTTACTAATTCCAATGATTTGAAAATATTTATATGTGACAAAGATGACAAAAAGAACCAATGTAAAAACCAATGTTGTATTTAAGGAATTATTTCAAAAATTATAAACCACTTATAACGTTCATCTTTAAATATACTTTATTGTGGAAATCCTTTACTTCTAAATAGTTTATTGTATTTAGAATTCATATTGTTACATTTTACCACAATCTAATTTATATTCAAAACTTACTTTTGTCACATGAGTAATATCTTATTCCCGTGCATCGCACGGGAATAATACTAGTAGTAGACACAAAATCGAAACGGTTCCGAGATATTACAGAATCGGGATTTTTGCTCATCCTTAATAGGCTACACAAACGTGGATTAATAACATAAAATTTGATTAACAAAGCTCACTAATCCAGCCAAAAAAAGATCAATAATGTAATTCAATAATTTTTTTTTTTTGGAAAAGTAATTCTCTAGATCTTTATACTCCGTATTACATTTTCTTTGAGAAAAATGCACGGTGTACACCAAATGTGTACACCTTTTATGTACACATGTCTGTCCCCAGTAGATAAGTTGTCTGTCCATAGACAATTCTACAGAGTTGTCTGTGGACAGACAACTTATCTGCTGGGGACAGACGTGTACATAAAAGGTGTACACATTTGATGTACACCAAACAAAGTTGTTTCTTTGAAACAATTGTTAAATGATTGGAGTTGTTACCCAGCCAAGTTTTGTTCCAACCAGGTAAATTGCACAAAAATAATTAAAAGTAACCTGAACAGATATATCTTCATATTGATTCTTTTTTTTTACTCCAGGAGTCTGGGGTCTGGGGGCCTGGAGTAATCAGGGTTGAATCTCACCCAAAACTTTGATGAAGTGTGAGATAAACACCCCAAACTTGCATATGTAATTAAAATAGCCTGAATTATTTTAGCACAATGGTCATGTACTTTCAAAAATATTAATTTTTGGTGTTTATTTCATAATTTTGATGTTATTATCTCACACCCCTTCAAGTTTCAACAAACTGAACCAGACATGTTGTTTTTTATGGCGTGATGTTTTACAACCTTGTTATCCAATTACATATTGAGTTTGATGTTTTGTAATATTTTGATAGTTTTTAAGAAAAAACGATCGGTCTTAGACCCTAACTTTTCTTTTTTTGAAAGAAGACCTTAATTTTCTAAGAACAAGTTATTCTTTTTCTAGTAAATCTTCATTTGCTTCCTGGAGGTGAACTTGATATCTTTGGGACTCATGTGAGAATAATGTGGAGGTTTACGAGAATGGTAGTCCTGTAAGTGTATTTATAAAAAAATGAGTTCAAGATACATCAGGATTTCTACTAATTAATATTAATAAATACTCGTACATTATTATCATGCTCTCACAAAAGCATGCCACCCAGGCACCCCTAAGTGTTAGAGGGATTTCCATAAATAAATACTGGTATTAATTACTTAATATTAATAAAAATCTATTTTCAATACAATTAACGATTCACAAATTCGATGTTTTGGTTACTAATGAATTAATTAATAGAAATGACTCTAAATAGGAGCAAAAGCGTTTTGAAATTCCAAAATAAGAGTATCATTTTATTCCCTAAATAAGAGTAATCTGCCATGTTTGGAAAAAATGTCATGTTTTAAAGACCTAATAATGTCAAACTTGGCAAAAATTTACTCATATTCAAAGAATAAAAAACATGATAGTACTATTTTGGAATTTCAAAACTTTTTTACTCCTATTTAGAGAATTCTCCCAAATTAATCGGCAAGCAAGTTCGTAGTTTAGCAAAATAAAAGAAATTTGCCGATCTTAGCGACATAGTTACATTTGGTTCATTATTATTATGCTAACATTAACAAACAATAATCTATTTTCTCGAGCACTAACATCACAAAAAATCCTCCGTTTGTTTTTGGGTGAATTCCCGAGTAAAAAGGTTTTGAAATTCCAAAATAAGAGTATTGTGTTTTTTATTTCTTGAATAGGAGTAAATTTTTGCCACGTTTGGCATTAATAGGCTTTAAAACATGGCATTTTTCCCCAAACTTAGTTGATTACTCATATTTCGGGAATAAAAAACATGATATTCCTATTTTGGAATTTCAAAACGTTTTTACTCCTATATAGAGTAATTTCTATTTGTTTTTAATAACATGACAACATTACCAAAAAGTTTAACACTTCGCAGATTTCAACAACAGATGTTTGTAAATATGCATAAGAGTGTAAATTTCTCAGCAATCCGTTGTCGTCCAGCGGTTAGGATATCTGGCTTTCACCCAGGGGACCCGGGTTCGATTCCCGGCAACGGAAAGTTTTGTATTTTTGTTTTTAATGGTCTTTCCAGATTAGTTTTCCAGTTTTAGCAAACCTTTCTCAAATATCCATTGTCGTCCAGCGGTTAGGATATCTGGCTTTCACCCAGGAGACCCGGGTTGCCGATTCCCGGCAACGGAATTTTGGTTCTCAGCCTGCTTTGATCACTTTTTGTATTTCAGATGGTCGAAGAAATGCAGAAACGCATGAACGTTTAGTTTCAACACATAGTATGTTATATTGGACATGTGACAGATCTTTGTGTTGCCAGCAACGATAAAAGCACATGTGACAGATCTTAATACTAGTAATATTTTTGCTATAAAATTAAAATGAAATTATTTTTTTTGGACTATATCAAATAACTATGAATACATATACCATTGAATTATACGGAGTACTATTTTTTTTTATAAAACTATTTGGTTGTTCGCCATCAATAGTCGGACATATCACAAACCATTGAAATATTGAATTATACTATAAAGTTTTTCTAAACGATTAACTATAATTTTTTTAAGTAAGAACAAATATAACATTAACTATATATATGCCCCTATATTATTTGAGCATATACGATAGTATATTACTATATTCTAATTTTACAATTCTTGCGTTTAATGAATCAAAAGAAATTTAGATGTATATTTATTCTCAAACATATAGTTCAAGAACATATTTTTATGTTTTCCCATCAATTAATAGTGTTGATAGAAATAACAATGTATGGTTTTAATGAAAACCAGGTTTTCCATACAAGTTTATCTTAATTTGGAATCGTTAATCACCTTAGTAACTCGTCACTGAATACAAAAAACGAGACATTACAGGCAACATAAAATTCGAACACTCTCTTGTATCAAAATTCATTAATTCAGATTCGATTTATGAATGTTTGTTAATGAAAGGTTTAAATCTTTCCTAATGATAATTAAATTTGTATTATTAATTAAAGTTTCATACCAAACTATATGACATAGTATGTTATATTGGACCCTCATCTGCCAACTATTGCGCCCGACCCAACACACAAAGATATTATTTGCATCATTATTGTACATTATTATTAGAGTATTTCAAATTAGCATTTTTGTATTATCAGTCATTTTAGGTAACCGGGCTTATCGGGCCCATGTGGCCTATGCTCGGACTTTCCTTATAAATAGACCCTAGGGTCATGTAAAGTGAGAGGACATCGTCTTCTCATACCTTGCTCAATCTCTAATACTATATTTCGGTACTAATAGTCCATCAAATGATGCTTTCATCTATTCCTTTTGGTTACCGACGGATTGCGTGCTTTATTTCACCAGGCTGAGCGAAGAGGAGAATTGCATGGCGTGTCGGTTTGTCATAGAGCTCCAAAGGTATCACATTTATTTTTTGCAGATGATAGCTTGCTTTTTTCAGAGCAAATAGGGGTGAGTGTGATACGGTTAAAAATATTTTGCATCAAGTGCTTTTTTAGTCCGAATGTGGTAGGCCCTGAGAGGGGCTTTTTTGTGATTATATGGGGGTTAGTAAAGAAGCTCAACAAGGTGGTTATTTGGGATTACCAACTCTGGTGGGAAGTAACAAGAAGAGTATTCTAAGTTACTTAAAAGGGAGAGATTTTTCACTCGAATTCAGAGTTGGAATAATAGATTTCTATCCAAGGCAAGGCATGCGGTTTTATTGAAAATTGTTATTCAGGCGATGCCTAGTTAGGCCATGAATGTTTTCTTCATGCCAAAAGAGCTTAGTGAGGAGTTTGAAAAGCTTATAAATAATTATTGGTGGAAGGGAAATACTTTTGAGGAAAAAGGCATTCAATGGAAGGCGTGGGGTGGTCTGTGTGGCACAAAGGGCGAAGGCGGTATGTGCTTTCGAAAACTCAGAGATTTTAATATAGCTATGTTGGCTAAGCAAGCATGGAGGTTAACTGTTGACACGTCTAGTTTGGTAGGACGGATTTTTTAAGCGCGGTATTATCCAGATACCTCATTCCTGAAAGCTAAAATAGGCTCCTAACCCATCATTTATATGGAGGGGTATATCGGAAGCTCAACAGGTTATATCGGAGAATACTCGACATATAGTTGGCAACGGCATAAGGGTGCAGGTCTAGGCAGATGCTTGGTTACCAGGGACGACTGATCCAGGAAAAATAAGTTCAGCTAAACCTGCTGGAATAAGGGATATGAATGTGGCGGCGCTTAGATCAGAGGATGGCAGAAGCTGGAATGTGGATCGGGTAAAAACTCTGTTTATTCCGGAAGAAGCCAATCATATTTTGAGCATTCCGATTAGTATTTGTGAAAGGGAGGATGACCTTTGGTGGAATGGGGGACAAGATGGTGTGTTCTCTGTTTGAAGCTGTTACAGGTATTTGGCTCAAAATATGGAACCGGGAGGATGGACGAGTTGGACTCGTATGTGGAACTTTCAAATACCTCCAAAAGTTAAATTTTTCTATTGGCAGGCAATGAGGGGTTGCATTCCTACAACTGTCAAACTTCGTGGCAGAGGAGTGGAAATCCCAACTGTGTGTAAGGTTTGTGACAGGGAGGATGAAGATACAGACCATGCATTGAGAATGTGTCCTAAAGCATAGGTTGTTTGGCAAGCAGAAGGGGGGGGGGGGGGGGGGCTTTTTGTAGAATTGCTAACGACTTTGAAACATGAGTAAGGTAGTGTATGGAAACGCTTGATGAGGAGAAGTGCTGCAAGTTGGTGATGTTGCTATGGGGGCTTTGGAAAAGAAGAATCGGCGTCGTATGGAAAGATGAACATGCGGGTGAGATGTCAGTAAGGAGTGGTGCGGAAGCTATGCTGCGTGGGTGGCGTGAAGCTCAATCTTCAGATGCAGCCATCCATAATGCATCGGCGGCCACAAGTACTAGATGCATAGAGAAATGGCAGCGACCGAGGGTAGGTTGGAAGAAAATAAATGTAGATGGGGCAATCAATGATGCAAAAGGAATAAGGGCGTGGAGCTGGATTGCCAGAGATGCGGAAGGTGAATTTCTAGTGGACATAGCGAATCTATGGAGGCACAATGGACGAAAACAAAGATCGCAGTAGTAGGAGTGAGAGCAGCGCTTCTTGGGGCATTACAACAAGGATGGCAACAAGTAGAAATTGAAGCGGATGCTTTGACCGTGGTACAAACTATTCAAAAAGGGAGTGGATCTTCTTATCTGGCACTGATTTTAGATGACATTAAAATTTTTCTGGAGGACAACATCAATTTCAATGTTGCTTTTTGTAAGAGATCTGCGAATCACGTTGCTCATGCTTTGGCTAGGGCATGCGTTTCTAGTTCTGGTCTTAAGATTATACATGAACAAGTTCCAGATTATGTTGTAAGTCTGTTGCAGAACGATTTACTTGATTCATAGATATGAGCTAGTTTTTCTTCAAAAAAAATGGTGCTTTCATCTAGAATTATACTCCATCTGTATTTTAAAGTTCCATACACTTTCCATTTTGGGATGTATTTAAAAGTCCATACACTTTCATTTTTTGGTAAGTTTTTCCTTTAAAAATACGCAATTATCCTTACTTTTCTACTTTCTTATTCTCTATTTCCTACTTTTTCACATCCCCTCATACTTTTTCTATACTATTCATTACCTCTACTATTCTCCCTTAAATATTGAGCCATAACGTAACGTATGAATCTTTTAAATAGGAAGGGAGTATTTGGATACTATATTTCAACATGATATTGATACTTTGTATAAAATTATTACGGAGTATATATTATATAAAATCAAAACTAAAGGAGAATCAAATTGGCCGAAGGGATATTGTATGACAACATTATATTGGGATTTTTTGACAGATGCGGTAATGACTTTATTGGCAATTTGGCACTTCTAAAGTATTACTCCCTTTATTGACTTGACTCGTAAATTTAGATAGTGAGAATAAAGTGGAAATGTATGATTGTAGTTGCGTAAGAAAAAGGTGAATGAACGTGAACCACATAGTTTTTCCAAAAGTGGAAGTTGGAAGAATTAATTGAAACAGTCCAAAAAGAAAAGTTAGAAGAAATGACTACTCCTAGCCGTATGGCACCCTAACGCAAAAGCCAAGTCCACTTGGTTTCCCTGAGCTTCTACTATAAAATGAAGAATATATGCTTTACAAAGGGATTCACCATTTTTTTCTCCCTACACATTCCAAACCTAGAGCTCATTAGTCATTAATGAGTGTGGAGAGCCTCATTGTAAGCTGTACAAATTAAGAGATCAATAATAATAGATCGATCAGTTGGATTAGCCCAAACTGTCCCATTATCCCATGGATATTTCTCATTTGGATTTCGGCTTGCAATCGTGTACTACATAATAACTAGAAGCTATTGGCTTTCACTAGTAAACAAACCAAAACGTGGAAAAAACAAAATAAAAAAAAGCAAAAGAAAAATTGTTCTATCTATATTTATACTAATATAGCAATGAGCAATGCCAACATCCTCTTTAGGCAGAATAGTTTAATCCGCAGTTGGATCTCAAGAAGTTATGCCATGCCCTCAGTGGACCAATATCTTGAATGGTCTTTGTGTTTGCATCGTGCTTCCTCACAAACAAACCTCTAGCTGAGAAGAGCGTAAGGTCAGTTGAGTCCATGTAATTCTTGACTCTCGATCTGAAACCGCCATAATAACCGGAGAAGCCCATTCTAAAATACGAGTCCTTATTTCTATAATCTTCTGCACCACCAATTCTATCCTCCAAATCAGCATCCACTAAGCAACTCTCTTGATCAAGTGATTGTTTAGCTGCCAATCTGTCAACTTGTGTTTTTAGCTTCTGTAAACGATCACCAATCCTAGCAGAAACAGCATCATATAGCTTTCCTCTTGATATATTGTGATTTCCCTCCGCAGCAAGAAGGTCATCAAAAACAATGGGATCACCGACAAGTATAGTCACCTATCAAGTTTGCATCAAGACTAAGAATTACAAGGGAAATTCCATAAAACAGAACACGATACATACACGAACAATTCTTTATTCCATTTCCCACCCCTCCAATTTGTAAAGTCAAATTTCATTTTAAAGTAAAATTCCTGGAAATCGAAGTGGTAAGTGGAAATAAGTTTTTGGTTTATACATGACCATACTAAGTTGTAAAAACTTGTATCTTGATTTAGTTGACTAGAAAAATGAGCTGTACCTTCCTCAAATGAACGTCTTTTTTCAGGACAGATGGAGTAGTACTTATTTTCCATCATTTGCAATGGAGCCAAAGATTCATTATTTTTTGGCTTGAGATTATGATGGAATAAAGCAAAATGGCTCACTAAACTGGCAGCGCTTCTTTGTTATGAAGCAGTATTCAATCCATGCAATTTTGGACGCGATTTTCACTATGGGTCATCCGGAAAAGTCTCTTTGTGCTTTAGTATAGGGGCAAGACTGCGTACATCCGACCCCCCTTACCCCACCGTAGGTGGGAGCCTTTGCGGCACTGGGGTAAATGAAAATGAAATGATGAAATGAATGGAGTAGTACTTAACTATCTTTACTAGATTTAAGCTACTATATACATGGACAGAGAGAGAGAGAGACAGAGACATAGAGGCATACCGACTTTCCAATCCTGGGAAACTTGGCTCCTATGGGCATTATCTCTTGCATCCCAGTATGCACAAATGGGACAACTATTGGTACACGGTCAGCATCTAAGACCAACCTATAAAAAAGTAAAGAAGATGTGGGGTATATTGTTCATTGTTTAAAGAAGATAGAACCATTTTAGTCATTCTTCTCATGATCATGTTAACTTCTACACTTTCCCACTTTTGATGAATCATATTCCACAATGGAAGAAAATGTAAGGTTTTCTAGCTAAGCATGCATTCAGCACCGGCTAATTAATTGCCATTTCGTCCTACGAAGCATTACCTTCCAATGCCTCTTTTTGCAGAGCCCATGGTTTTCCCACCATCTCGAGAACGACTACCTTCAGGGAATATGTGAACCCATCCACCACAGTTGAGTTTTGAGATAGCCATGTCCATACCCTGTATATCATCCAATCAATGAAATAGCCAATAGGGTTGGTGATAAGATTTGAAGTTATCTTTGCCGCTGCAAATCTAAGAGAACCTTGATAGCTCTTGAATATAGAGTGATTTACTGAAAAACAAGAACAAAACCATGCAGGTTTGTTTGCAATTTAGCATATATCCATGAATCGGCTTTTTCAATTCGTGTAAAATCGGCTTATAATAGCATGAGCACTAGTCTAAAATCAGCCCAGGAGGTTGCTTAGACTGAATATATGCACCAGATGAAACTAGTTTACACACACATATTCGCAGTTACCTCTTTATTAGTATAGGCCACATACTAATACATATAGTCACTTCGCACTTACAAAAGAGCATGTTTAACATCCTCTGCAGTCTTATGAGCACCTAAAGTCTACAAGTACCTTTTGATAAATTCCATCACCACGGGAAACTGGCAGGACTTTAACAGATTTGAAGAATGCCGATGTTGCTGGATTTCGGAAACAGCGATCAGTTGCACATAGTGTCCATCTCAAAGTTTGTGCATTGAAAATAACACTTCGGGGAAGCAATGCAGCAATGACTAATGGATCATCCATAGAAGCAACATGATTGCTGACCTAAAATTAGATCAAAGCATCAAACCACAGTTTGAATCATCATAAGGAATATTTTGGAATGAGAATAGAAAGAAAAGTTCCACAGCACAAAAATTAGATCTCTGTAATTGTTAAATGACAACATTTACCGTAATTAAAGGCTTGTCTCCTGGCCGGTTGAGCACAGCTTGATGTAGTTTTTCTAAACCATATATCTGTAATGGTAGCTAACTTATTATCTCGTTAACAAGTAGTTTCTTGTGCATATATCGAAAAACACATAACATCAAGTTACCTGCACTTCATTAAGTCCATGCATAAATACATGGCACACATTTCCAAGAAGAGGAACAGCAACAGCCTGAAGCATGCGTGCCAGTACTGAATCTGCTTCGGGATCAATGTCCTTGCTAACTGCACCCGTATGATCCAATGTGGTATGTTTGACAATAGAAAGGATGGAGAGGATATATGGTGAAATACAAAGACATAGTATATAATGCATTAAAACTACACAGAAAAGAAATATAGCTAGCTTATAAATGACAAAAATTAGGTGTAAACATTAAGAAGGTTAGGAGTGGTTTAAAAGATATGAAGACTGTTAAAAATTGTTATTAAGACTGTAAGATATAAGCGTTATTAAGCACTAATATCATCCGAAACATCTTATCTGTTGAGCAACTGAAGTTGACTTACATTTCTGGAATGTGTTTTCAAGGACTACAACATCATGCTTAATCGCTAACCAATGTAAGGTGATAGGTTGCTGATTTAAGTGTGCTGAAGTGTGTGCAACAGATATGTTGTACTCAACAGTTATCAAATTTACTAAGTAACTGATTCCATGCACTTCAAATATTATTTATTATATTGGGGGAAATACCATTTTTAGTTCCCCTGCTATGAAGAACAACTTAATCTAGTCCCTCACTGTTTGACATTTGCACATTTGATCATCAACTATCATTGACAAAGAAGATGACATATCTATCCAAAGCCATACAAAAAATGCAGTACTGGCTAACCTACCAAAACACCATAGGGCATCTCCTTAATTTCATAGAGAACAGGAAGAACATGCTTTTAAAACATTATTTTTAGCAATGCGGTGCTAAAAATAGTGTACAAACCAATAGGAACATCACAAACAGAACTGCCATTTATAGAACCGCAAGTCAACCAAAGGCCATTTCTAAGGTGGCTCCAAATCCAAAATTGGGTTCCTGAGCTGAAAGTTGAGTGCAATGATTCAAACATTGCTCTATATTTGAAGATATAAGTTGGAACGGACTTGGGCTATTTTAACCCTGTCTAGGCACCCCCTAATGACCCCCTCAGTGAAAAAAGATTTACTATATTACGTTTCTAGGTCAACAAAGTTTTGTTTTGTTCTTTGATTTTGAGTATCAATTTTGTATCATATGCAACTTTGGTTTTTGAGATTCAATACCACTAGTTTCGAGTAAATTTTAACTATCTATCATGCAAATGTCAAATTTAACTTCATCGCAGGTCCACTTGAAATAAACAAGTTTGCACATTTTGGGAAGACAAAGTTTACGGGTAGGGACCTCTTTTGCGGTAGAAAATGGTAGACGAAGGCAGAGAATCCTGACGGAAATCGCTGAACCGCTTGACTAATCGCTGTATAGTGGAGACGAAGTAACCTTCTGAGAGCTTCGGGCGGCGTCGGTGGTGATCGACGGCGACTCGGAAACGATTCCGCAGCCGAAACTGCAGTGAATTAGCCTTGTCCTTCCACAGATCCGCTCCTGTTTCTATCCATCTGCCAGAAACCATTGTAGATCAAGGGCGAGATTTCGTCCCTAAGTATTTATATACTTCGTATATCTATATGAGAAAGAAAACTGGTCCTAACGGC